GTGTACGGAATGTGGGTAACTGTTTATATAACATTACTTGTCGGTATTCTGTTACTAAGCGAACAACGGATAAGACCAGTTGTTAAAAATGTTTTGTACTATGTTCCTTTTTGTATTCGGAAATAATACATTCTAACTAAAATGTAAGTGTGCATTGATATTTTTTAAATTAATATTCTATGTTAAACAGTTCGTCATAAAAATGATATGTTAAACAGCCTCCCCCTTATGCCACTTTTTTCATATCATAGGCTATGCCATACTACTATGTAATCAAAAAATTTTTGTAAAATACATCTATGCTGTACCATTATATGTCAAGTAAGCAATTTTATGTTATCATCACCTCGCGTTTTTAGTTATGTTCCTACTAACCAATACCGTAAAACTAACCTTAAATTAAATTTTTTTGTGTAACCTTAACAGCACTGAAGAGGGGTTGGGCATTTAAGCCAACCTGAAAGCATATGAATAAGGAATTTTTTAAATAAAAAGTACGTTTTCTAACCAATTGCTGTCCGTTCGTCTACCAACTCGTTTTGGATTACACAGACGCTACACACTGCATTCAAGATACAGCAACCACGTCCTCTACATTATAGTATTTATTGTTTATGTAGTTATATTTAAAGACAAATAAATTTTTAATACATCAAGTTTTCACTTAAAGTCATCAACGCATTATTAGAAACTGTTACATTAAATAAAATGACTGTATAACAAAACCAATTTTACCACAAGCTAAATAATATAAACAAAATATAATTTGGTTAATATTATTCTTATTTGATCATGTTTGCAACCACCAGCATTTATTTCCCTTGCATAAAATCAAGATTACTGTTTATAAAGAAGATATGATAACGATAATTGTAAATGATTATAAATGTACTTGTATCTTTAAGCAATAATGACAAAAAGACATTAAGAACTTGCTGTACACTAATTCTGCAAAAAATAAACATTTCATTATTTTTCAGACAAATAAATAATTATTATAGCTGAGAATATTTGTAATTTATGTATAAATTTCAAATGCTTCTAACCAGTTCTCTCTCCAAAAATACCACTTTTTAATGATTATTTCTTTCAAACTATTCTTTAATTACTTATAATGTTTTACTACTCTTGCTTCAATAACGTGAATTATTTAAAAAATTAATTAGGATTTTATAAATAACAATGAATTTCCCATTTAATATTTAATAGTTTCATTTATAAAATGATTTTTTTATTAATTTGTTTCACATTATTTTAAATAACAGCATTTTCATTTTGTCTTATCATCAATTATTTTTTTATTAGATTTTTTGGTCAAATTTTACCTAGGCGCACTGTCATGGCCATGGTCATGACTGTTTCTGCTCCTGACTGACTCTTCCCAGAGGGGAGCCGTCGGCAGGCTGCCGAGTATATAACATCACTAGTTATTGATTCACGGTAGTTCTTAAACACATGTATCAATAACTAGTGACGTTATACATTCAGTGGCATGCCGGTGGCTTGCCTCCAGGAGGAGTCAGTTGGGTGCACGAACAGTCGCAACCTCCACCATGATGATGCACATAGGTAAAATTTAACCAATTTTTTAAATTAACAAGTAAATTAATTTTAAATTTAAGGTTTTATTAATGTAAGTATTATGATTTAAAAAATTATAAACTGCAACATGAATATGAAAGAGTGAAGAAACAATATAACATGTCAGGACTAGACTGACAAAGGCAGCCAAGAGTAGAACATCAAGTGTATTTGTGTGTGTATATATATAAATATAATATACAGCGGTTACAAACTTTCAGGAGAGATAGAGTACACAGAGTACACCTAGACAATGGGAAATCACGTAGCACTGCATGGTCAGAAACACTTTCCTGGAACTTCTGGAACTTGTTGCACACATCATGGCTGCTGTTGGGGAAGTCTGGGACACACCCAGTATTTTTGACAATATTAGATCTTCAATGCGCTGGAGGCCTGCATCAAGGCCCAGGGTCATAATTTCAAACACCTTTGATTTTGCTGTACTAAGAATAATAAACATGTTTTCTCATCCTGTTCATGTCCTTCCTTACTTGTGTTTTGTACAACCATGCACTGCTATGTGATTTCCCATTGTCTAGGTGTACTCTATCTCTCCTGAAAGTTTCTAACCACTGTACTGATACACCCTGTATATATGACTATTTTGTTTATAACTGACATATTCTAAAAATTTCCAAACATATCACAAAATTTTATATTTGTTCTAGCTGAAATTACTTCAATATAATCTTGTTTATTCATACTCTTTAACCACTGCAATAACTATTCAAACTATTAAAATAATTCATTTCTCTTGGATCTTGTTAACATATAATATTTTATAATAACTAATCATATGCAAGAATCTTAAAATGTGAAGAAAAAACTATATTACATGACCACTTCATAATACAGTAGAGCGTCATTTATCCGAATGAATTGGGGACTGGGGTTGTTCGGATAATTTATTTTTCGGATAACCGATTATGTACGAACAAATATATTAACCCATCCCGTGTTGAAATTTTTCTCCATTGTGTGTCGCTTCGCGTTGAATTCCCATCAATGTTAAGCCTAACGTAAACTTTTTAAAATAATAATCGTGGCTATTGTATCATTAAAAATTATTTCTTTATTTTTTACAAACAAAATAAATATATTGAAAAATATAAAAACAAAAAATTATACTTTAGAAGTTAATCCAGTATCAAAAATGTTCAATTCAGTGCAACACACAGTCCTCAGAAAAACACTACACAAAAGTGTCAGTGTTGCCCAAGGTCTTAGATTATATTCTAAGACCTTGCACAACACCAGAGAAAATTAAAATTTGCCGACTGGAATGCTTTCGGTTAACCAACGTTTCGGATAACCAGCTTTCGGATAAACGACGCTCTACTATAATATTTTATGAAGCAACTATCTATCATTAATATCATTTATATTTTAAGAATTATAATTTTAAAGAAGTATATCTTTGACTTTTTATCATAAAATAATAAACAGCAATCTTTTAAAAAAAATTACTTACTTTTCGAGAACAAGTTATAAATGCTCCATTAGATGACGCTTTTAATAATATATCATACAAATTGGAAGGTGCATCATCCAGATCATATCTTTCTGCAAGACCTCCTGTTAAATCTACCAAAGCATCCATAGCTTGGCCTCCTTCTAAAGCTTCATATGATTTATGTAATCTAGTAAATAATTTTGAATAATTAAATTATTTATCTATTTCACACTTTTGAATGAATTACAAATTCTATCATAATGCTTAAGAACTATTGTTGATTAATCTAAAATTTCAATATTTTATTAAATGGGAAAAAGTGAATGGTAAGTCTGTCTATGTGTATTACATACCCACACACAATTGCCTTGACCCCTCGATCATCCTGACAATCACACACAGTCGGCAAACCTTACAATTTTACCAATCCTTGGACTTAAAAATATCGAGAAATGCTGCAATAGTCAATATGCCCACAAACTTGTTTCCTTTCATGTACAGTACAGTACAGTACAATATTTTTTGTATCAAATTCTGTGTCATTTTTCATTTTATCTTTGGATAAAACTGTCCACGTGGCTTCAGAATGTCTTTTTCATCTCCCCTTTGGTTTATTGTCCCTTATCTACTTACTAATTACTTCAAGTTTTGGAAAAAGTAGCCAGTTAAACTGTTTCCATTTGTGGCCATTTTATCATCATACAGCATGAGATCGGCTACTTCAGAACCAAGCACTTCCCCAATCTGGCCAACGTGTCTGTCATTGGCCAATTGAGATCAAACAACACCAATGATATGTTTATCAGCATACAATCACTTCATCAGTATCATTTGATCTCACAGTTAGAATATACATGTGCACACAGTGGTAAATACTGTACTCAAGCCAAAAATTCCTCCTTTAAATTTTTTTGAGTTAACCAAGTCAAATAACCAATTAAATTCCTAAGTTAAAGTGGGGAGAGTGCATTTTTATTTCTGTATGTTAAATCTGGCAATGTCTCAAAGATAATAAGTGTCACCTCCCGCTACAAAAACACCAATAACAAAAACAGAAAAGAACACACAAAACAATAGATATTGTGAGAATACAGTTGAGGGTTAGACCCTCTAGTCGTTGAGTTGGTAAAACCCGCTCACGAGGTCACTGGATGATGTTTTCCCGAGTGACGGAGGAGATAAGACAATAGGGTTCTGTTCTCCAAATAATGATGAGATGACTGGTTAACAACTTAACAAAAGTTTGATATAAACAAAGACGGAGATTATGAACACAATGTAACCAAGTTACCTTTGAAGGATAACATAACTAACAGAAGTTCTGTTTTTGCAAGGCTATATGGAGAGTTCTCAAGGGTAACTGTTTCTTAAACATAAATTCTAAGTCGACCAAGAGAGAGAGAGAGAGAGAGTTTACAATAAGGGTGTGACTATGCAGACGCGAGCGAGCAAATTTTCCGAGCAAGCAAGAATATGTGGTGAGAAGAGGCGAGACGTAATAAATATCAAAACCTGTCAGATATGTGCGAGAACCAAAAATTCGCTCTCGCCAGTTATATTTCTCGCTTCTTGTTTGTGCATGGTTTTCCTTTGTGAAAACTAAATCGCTCGCAACCTATCGCTCGCTCTAAATTTGCGTCTGCATAGTCACACCCTAACTACAGAATACCTCATGTAGATAATCAGTTATCTTCAGATAATGTATCTAAGGCTTGGCATAGAGTGTCCTTGGGGCAAGGGTGGACAAGGCAAGAGCTCCAGTTCGGCTCTTCCAATATGTCAGCTTTGATGGTGGCAGGACTTATGTCTACTGTTGATGTCTGACCCGATGCCTGGATTTGAGCCCCTTTTATACGCATTGCACGTGAGAAAACAGTCAAGTGACTTTGATTTAATGTGTTCTAAGTTCGAGTTGGGTCTGGTTCGATGGATACGGGCTGTCAAGAATCGGATGTTTCGAAGAATTACGGATATTTTCTATTCATTATCGTGGCTCATCTTACCTCAAAATTCCATCCATTTGACAGTTTCCCATCATTAATAATCAAATGTTTTGACTAAGTTTATAACCTAAGTCCAAATATCAAAATGATTGTTGATTCAGAGGGATATTGGATAGGTTTGTTATCTTATCAATCAAGGAGTGGCCATGAAGTTTCTGTTGAAGATCTGGGTTTTTCCCTTTGAATTATAATTAAGTTAACAGGTTAATTAGAGCTAATTAACCTCTCCGGATCTTCACAATATTATTTAGAATAAAGTATTTTTTACAGATAGCTTTCAGTTTGATGAAATTAAGGAATAGTTATCTTCAATTTTAATAGCAGTTTTTTGCTGAAACATGATGTAATCGTTACATTAAGGCAGCAGTATGGTGCATAAATACAAGATGATGATTTGGTATTAAACAAAGGGATATGAATGTAACTATAGTGAGAAGCAAGTAGGCCATTACAATATTTTATAGGTATAAATGCAATTTTAATTAAAAAGGAGTAAAAACTTTTTAACTTGATGTGATTTAACATAAGGAGGAAGCATAGAAAGCAAAGGAAAACTACTATGCTTTATTTCTAATGTAGCAATCTTCCTAGTAAGATGAGCACAACTAGAAATAGAGACAAGAACAACATTCAGTTGGAATTTGTTGCAAGCATAAACACCTTGCCCAGTAGGGGGAAGAGGGATCTCCAGATCATCAGCCTGCAAACCCCCCCAAGAGACTTGAGAAATGGAACTTGGAATGTGAAATCTTAAGGAAAACTGAAAAGATGGAAAATCTGAAGAATGAGATGAAAATAAATAAATTATACATAGTAAGACCAGGTGAAATGAGATGGAAAGACAAGAATCAGTGAGCAACAATATCAAGCTTTACTTTTCAGATGGGAGGAAAGCAATGAATGGACTGGGGATAGTGTTGAAAAGTGAGTTTGCATCCTGAGTTATTAAAGTTGATTACATAAATGACAGAATCATAATGTTCATTTGTTGTGAAACCGTGTTGTACTAGATTTTCTTTAGAAGTGTTGAACACGAGATCGTGTTATTAACCAATCATACGGCTTCTTTTCCACCTTTATTTAGTTGATACTAAATAAAGGTGGAAAAGAAGCCATGTGATTGGTTAATAACATGATCTCATGTTCAACACTTCTAGAGAGAATTGTANAACTTGCAGTAAGAATAGTGAAGATGGACTCCAGGTTACAATTCTTGAAGGAATGTCAGGTAAGAAGAATTTATCCAATGTCCATTTTTAGAATCAAGTTGCCTAATGAATGTATAGCAGTACGAGAAAGAGTACGAGTTCTCTGCTTAAATAATTCAATTAAACGAGTAAAGAATTTCAAGTACAGAGCCATTAAAGAAATAGTGGAACTGGAAGATAGCATGTTTAAAACGAGCCCGCATATATTGACGAGTATCAATTTAAGAGTAGTTGGGTTAACAAACCAGATAAGCATTAATTTAAGGAAGAAATACAGGAGTACTTGTGATGTATTTTTCCAAACTATATTCAAATTATTTTCAAATTTAAGAATTTGTACCAATTTATTATAAAGTAAATATTATATAAATTATTTTTAATTTACGAAATTTTAGAATGTTATCATATTCTTACTTTGCATATGCTTTTTCTAATAAAGCAACCCAAAATTCTCTGTTATCAGAACAGCGAGAAAAAATTAAACGTCCGTCTTTAGTTGGAAGTAAATCATCTATATAAACAGTTACCCATTTTCCATATTGCCAAAATTGAAACCAAATAAATCCCTTATAACCTGTTCCATAAAGAGGTTGATTTGATGGAATTACCTGGTAAAATAATAAAAGCATTGATCTTTAAATAAATTAAATAAAAACTGAAAATAAAAGTCTGATTACATTATTACCTATTTGGTAAACTGTGGTAAATAAATATTAAATACTTTACTAAAAAGTTTCAAGATAATCATCATATTGTAAGAGAAAAGTGAATAATCACCAATATAAAATACAAAATATCTTACTTTTGTACCTTTAAAAACTTTTAAAAAGTTAAAAATAAACAATAAAATTCCTTGTAATATTTGGCTTTTTTGTATGATAAATGTTACAGTAATATTTACCTTTTACTTATAACTAGTATGGATTCATTGTCACTATGTATGTTCATTGTAACTTTACAAATGATTATATAAATACATAAAAAAAAAGTAATAAATACAGTAGACTCTGCATAATTAGTTCTCATCAGGGAATAGATCATTTGACCCAAATAAGCAGAAATTATCCCAATAAACTAAAAAAACTCTCTCTTTTCATGATAGTATAATTAACAAGTAAAATATACAAAATAAAAAGACAAATTTACTAAAAAAATAAATTAATTAAAGACAGAATGTTTATTTTTATTACAATCTTTGAAAAAGTTGACAAAGTGTGCTCTGAAGTCTTTTCTGTACTAACTGCAACTAAACAAAACCAGAACATATGTCTAAAGCAGATAAAGAAATGTCTTCCTACATTGAAATATTGTCTCAATTCAGCAATATGTTCTCTAGAATCTTGCTCAATCACTTTTTTCAGCATATCATCATCACACATTTCTTGGCCTTCTGAAGTCTCCTATTGTTTTGCTGTATTTTGTTCAATGATCAAAATCACTTTGTCTGTCTCAACCTAACTTCTTTTAGGCCTAGTAAATTCAAACAGAATAGCCACAGAATATCATTTTCTATTTTAAATCCATTCTATACTTTGCCTTTCAATTAAAATCATCAATATCCCAAATAAATGGCACAAATTTACATTAAATGCATTGATTTCTTTCTGTTCTCAGTATTTTGGTGTATATAAATGGCTGCCCTAATTAACTGATGACCCGACTGAAATATATTGTACCTTTTTCAATAGAGAAAACAACAGTAAAAGGTTATGCTTTTATTATTCTATTTTTAATTTCTACAACAATGCTAATGTAATGTAATTTGTAAACCTACATTGCAGTTAAATCTTGATTTAACACATCTCTAATTAATGAATTTCAAATTTAACAAACTGGTGAGTGATGTCAACATAGTTTCATTATGTTTTCAATTATCTTCTATGCAACTTAATATGACTTATGAAATACATTTCATAAAAGATTTGTAAAATAATATCCTTATTGCATAATTATATATTAAATACTAAATAACACTTATCAATACCTCAACAACTCAGTAATTATATTGCTGAATGGTGGTAACTTCTTGCTTCAGATATGAATTCAACTCAATACAGTTCAACTCTGAAGAGTTCAACTGAATGTGAATGGCTACAGTTCAACAATTCAGAGTTGAACTGTAGCCATTCACTTGTACTTCTTGAACAATATTGTATATTTATGTAGGTGTATTATATAAATTTAACAAAATTTATTAATTATGATTAATAAAAAGATAATGTTTTGAAAAGAGAATAGGTAAACTTGAATGTTATTTGAAAATTCAAATTTATAAAGAAACTAAAGTTATGTCATTTATTTGTCATGTTTTTATGAAATCAAAAGATGAACTGTGTTTGATATCTCTAAGAATAAACGACTCAAATTATTTATAGTGAAGTTCAATATATACTGTATTTGCAACATTCTTCACAAATAGTTTTCCTTTGTTTCCATCATTATTTAGGTTTAACAGACCATTGGTAATAATATAGATCAACTTTTCCTATCAGTTTGTTAAATTAGGATGATCTATATTTAATATTAATGTCATAATTTATGCATTCATTATTCTATTATTTCTGTAGTATAGATAATACTAAAGAAATAATAAAATTATAATGATTACTTACTTATAGAAAACTTGCAGTAAAGATAGTGAAGATGGACTCCAGGTTACAATTCTTGAAGGAATGTCAGGTAAGAAGAATTTATCCAATGTCCATTTTTAGAATCAAGTTGCTTAATGAATGTATAGCAGTACGAGAAAGAGTACGAGTTCTCTGCTTAAATAATTCAATTAAACGAGTAAAGAATTTCAAGTACAGAGCCATTAAAGAAATAGTGGAACTGGAAGATAGCATGTTTAAAACGAGCCCGCATATATTGACGAGTATCAATTTAAGAGTAGTTGGGTTAACAAACCAGATAAGCATTAATTTAAGGAAGAAATACAGGAGGAAACTGCTGTGGATTTCAAAAAAGCAGCCATCCAAAGTTACGAGCGTTTTGAAGCCAACCCCGTATATATTATGGGATCAGATTCATCTCACAGAAAGTGTCAAACAAGTTCTGGAAAAAGGTCCTAATTATGCTCCTGACAACACTAGGAACTGGAGAGCTGTTGTAGCGGAAGTAGAAAGAGGAATAGTGGGTATGAATGAAGTGGATAAGGACTATTTCAGATGGAAAACAGCATTCAGAACTGAAAAATACTCTAGGAGGCATGATAAAGAAGTGAACATTAACAAAGCTAGGAAATGGTTGGATCGTAATGATATAGTGGTCACTAGGGCAGATAAGAGTAAGAATTTGGTCTTAATGAAGAAACGCAGGTACAATGAAGCCCTGGAAGGTTATATAGAAAAAACAGAATGTGAAGAAGTGGACCGAGGTATAGTTGAAAGAATTGACAGAAAATTAAGGAAATTGGAAAAATCGCCCATAGCAACATTATTCCTTTTCCTAAAAGGTGCCCACATCGCCTGCCCAGGTGTACCTAGGTTGTTTGGATTCGCAAAAATACATAAAAACAGTAAAGAGATCAGACCAGTAGTAGAGAAATGTAAAGGACCGACCTACATTCTAGAAAAACGTATGCATAGGCATTTAACACAACTGTTGGAGGGCTACAGATTTGTTACAAAAGACACGTTTAGTTTGGTTAATGACCTACATGATCTATCTTTAATGGACAATGAGATTGGGACGGTTATGGATTTCGAGAGTATGTTTCCATCAATAAATCTTGCCTCATGTTTTGGTGAATTGGTGAACCTTTTATGTGGGTTATACCCAAAAGCATCCGAACACAGAAAAGATCTAGAGATAATGGTTGATTTGGTTTGCTTTCAGTCATTTTTCGGTTTCCAAGGTAAAGTTTATAGGCAATTAAGGGGAGTCCCGATGGGCAGCCCGATGTCTGGCCTGCTGTGTGAGTTAGTGATTAGAAAAATGGAAAGCATGACGTTGTTCAACTACAACGAATACATAATCATGTACAGAAGATATGTAGATGATGTTCTAATTATTTGGAAGAATGACAAAATGATACAACGATTCTTGAACCAGATGAATTCTAACCAACATGGATTAAAACTTAACCTGGAGCAAGTTAGTAACAAGGAGTTGCACTTCTTGGACGTTGGTGTTGAATTTAAGAATGGAACTTTATGCACTAAAGTGTACATCAAGCCCACACATGACCCGATGTACATACCAGCGACTTCTAATGATCCAACGGTTTAAAAGCTATCTGCCTTTAGGGCGCTAGTCAGAAGAGCATTTTTGTATTGCTCGAATGTAATTGACATGATGGAAGAGCTGGGTAGGATCAAAAACGTTGCAAAAGGGTTAGGGTTTGGAACAAGATCTATAGAGCGTTTAATTTCGCCATACGTAAAGCCTAGAAGTGGCTCTAGAAAGAAACCAGACACTAGTGGTAACTTCGCAAAGTGTACGTATAATAAATGTCTCTTCCCAATGTGGTGTTCAGAGTGAGAGGTACGCGATCCCACGAGCGAAATGGTACAAAAAAAGGAGTCTCAACACAAAGTATTATTTCTCTCACTGAACAGGTTCGTTTATTGGATCCCAACTTTACAATTTTCCGAATTTTATGCGTACACCGGTGCTCAATGGTACACCTCGAAAACAGTTATCTATTACCCACGCGACAAAAACCTGACAAGGACCAAAATTACTTAAACTAACTTACGCTAACTTACACTAACTTATGACTAAAGATGAAAGAATATAGGATATAGAGATAGACAAGGAAAGAAGTAGAAATACCCAGGTTTAGATTCGATGAGCCCTTGGTTGGAGAACATTTCGGACTAAGAGGCCTTCCCTCGATGATCTCTCTCTCTCTCTGCACTTTTTATTCTTAGGTCACTTCTTATTTTGTAGACCTTTCGTCTACAGTCTTCATCTTTCAGATTGAGTTGTCTTTGATTTCCTCTCACTGGTAGACTTTTCGTCTACAGTCCTTCCTTTTCTTTCTCTCTGGATTGCTTCGTCTCAGATCACTTCACTTGTAGGAGCACCTCTCTGTTCCCTCCTACCTACTCGAGATCTCCACTCAATCTGATCTTCTTTTTCTTTGTTTTGCTTCCGGGCCTCACTCCCTTTTCCTTTGTTCTTCATTTCTCCGAAGAGGGTAATCCTCCCCCAAGGGCAAAAAGGGGTTCAGACAAAGAAAGTTATAGGAAGGTTTAGAGAAAAGAAAGTTCTAGATGGTTTTAGACAAAGAGAAAAGGAAACTCTAATACTAATACAACATAAAATATAGGAAATATATCATATCATGGCTGACGGCCACACCGATTATGAAGCAAATAGCGAAACACAAAAACGCTAGTATAGTATACAAAAGGGCCCCCAAAGAAAAAATGGATGATAATGAGCGGCCAGGTATGTATGCAATTCCATACAAAAATGACCAGTTGGGAATTGATAAGGACTACGTAGGGGTCACTAACAGAAACCTTGGTGTGAGGATTAAAGAACACAAATATGATGTCGCAAAGAATAAGTGTGTAACAGCATTATCCAAAATGGCACAAGCGGAAGGTTCTGTTATTAAATGGGAAGATGCCAAAATCCTTGCAAAAGTGCACTCACCAACGCTCTCATCCATAACTGAAAAATGTGAAATATACAGGGCAAGTTTAACGGATAGATGTTTAAATTACAAGGATGCGACAGTGTTACCTTCATCGTGGAAATACATAGTAAGAAAAAACACGCGTAATAATACACCTGCAGAGACTCAATAGATATCTGGGTTAATGTAGAAAGAATTGGTACTTAGTGTGTACGGTTAACCACCATATTTTATTTCGTTTTTTGTGTGATATTTTAGTTTATTATTTATTATTTTATTGTGGTTAAGCATGTTCTATTGGTTTAATTTAAACGTATGTTCTAGTTTGGTTAATTTTGAACGTGTTCGATTTTGTATTAGAGTCAAACAATGTTAATCTGAAGATGGCCCATAAATTGGGTTGAAAACGTTTGTTTTGTTTAATAAATATATGTTCTCAGCAATAAGGTGTGTTGGGTGTATCTAGTATATTACTTACAGTTTAACAATATGTGAATCTATTTTATTTGTGAAAATTTATGCATTTAGTATTCCAATTTTCAGTCCACAGGAGTTCAAACTTGTTTCATTTTCACACTGAATATATTGTATATTATTTTAAATATTTTATTCTGATTCCGTTATTTAATAATTTTTGAAATTTCAACAATTTGTTTTGAAGCAGTAAAAAAGATCATATACATAATAAGTCATACAATTATATAAATATATAAACATCTCAAACCCTGATAATTATATTAAAGCCAAATGATTACTGGATTAAATTAGGCAATATTGTGAGGCCAGCCGATTAGGGGTGAGGTGTTTTCGACAGCCGAGCGGTCATTTCTGTCGTGTGGGCGCGGAATGACTCACCGAGACAGGTTTACCATATAAAACCGTTTAATAATATACATAAATCGTTCTTACAATAATCTAATGCGGGCAAGAGCTTATCCCTCAATGGGTTTCTGTCACAGTTCCTACTAATCGGATAGTTCGAATGTTCGATTGGTCCCTGGGAAGCTTTCGGCACTGTGGACGCAGAGAACGATGGCTCTGGGGCACGCACCAACACTTGTAGTGATGTCCTCGGTTGACAAGTTGAACCTCGACGATTCTGGACGTGACCTCGGCGATCCTAGAGTGGACGGGTTGGCGAAACCAGTTCCTAGGTCGTCGGAAGAGCCTTCGTTGCGTCTCGCGTCTCGGTCGGGAGCACCAAATCCCGACAGGTGAGCACTACACACCAAAACCCAAGACTCCGTAAAGTTCCCGAAAACGCGGTTTTATCGATTTTTCCACCGCGGTCGCCTCTCCATTGGTCTCTCCTCGTCACATGGTGACAATTCGAAACTCCAGGAAGGGCGCGGGAGAGGTCAACGTCGCGTCGGAACACGACTCCTCTCCAACCTCGTTTTCCTCGACTTTACTCTATCTATTGTTTAAAATCTTTTAACAAGACAAAAGGTTCATTGTTTAAATCCTATCTTTAAGTTCGCTCTTTCGCACTATGAAACTTGACTCATTTAAAAAGTTGTTAATGGCCTGCTTTCAGACCCCGTTTGGGTCCTCACAATATTACCACTACTGATAATTATTAAATCCCAAGTAATATGGTATTAGAGGTAGGCATTAGGTGCCAACTCTTATTAAATTTAATAATTATAATAAAATTAATATTGATTAAGGAATTTAGAAAATTTTGGAAAAAAGAATTGGCCCAGAGCAGGACTCTAATTCACAACTGCCACTTACCAAGTAGATGCATTGCCAATTACACTACCCATACAATTAAACATATTGTAATTATGTTTTGATTAAACATATCTTAGCAAGAAAGGTGTATTGATGGTTTATTAAATGTTTAAGGCTGAGTTGGATATTTATTTAAAACTTGACCTTTTGAAAATAAAAATGATCAGTATTAATAGGGCAAATGAATCAAAAAATAGAGCTCACAACAAAGGCCATCTTTTTGTCCTGGACCCATGCACCTGTTGCACCTGCCTACTTACAATACTGTATTGATCTATAGATTATTCTTATTTCCAACTTTCTAAACTTCCTGTTATCATATTCAGTAATCAATAATTATTAAAAAGATATTAAAAGAATGTCTGTGTTAAATTTTGTGTGATTATAATAAAAAAATTTGCATATTTCAACATTTTGTATAAAATATTTGACATTTTAAATAAAGTTTTCAAATCACTTTAAACAGAACTGTAATTAAATTGCAAATTTTAGATTACAAAAAGAATTTACCACAAGTAAAAATTTATACTTAAAATTATAAAAAGAAAAATAGAAAGAAAAATTTAATAACTCTATATAATTAATATATCTGAAAATATTGAACTTTTTTTTAATAAACAAAAGCAAATACACAAATCTAATAAGATGAATTCAATACAATTAATCTATGTATTACAGGTACAATAGTAATATAGCAAAACTGACATTTCTTCTAAAAACTTGTAAAAGGCTTTTTTATTACCAACACAATTTTTAAATTAATCTTTCCTTTTTGAGAAGTATATTCTTACTTTTCTCATTAAAGTAGGGTATTGGGCTACAGCAGCACATGAAGACAAAAACCAACAATCAGCCAAAATTCCTTGAATAATATCATGCTGACTTACTCCATCCACCAAAAGACGAGGATTGTCAATTAGTTCCTAGAATTAAAAGTAATTAACTCAGGTTATAAATATAAATATTAAATAACATTTCAAAAAATAAATTATCATAATCTATATGAAAATTTTCAAAGATAATTTTTTATAACTATTCTTAATAAAAAAAATAAATTTTGATAATTTTGTTCCTATTTTTAATCTATTGATATTGATAATTAGATGATCAAGAGAGTAAAGAAATCAGTCTGCCATTCTAGGGAATATGGGTTATGGTTGGATCCTAATATATTTTCATGAATGATTTCATTTGGTTTTGGCTTGGATATATGTGATCAAATTTGATTCCCATCCATCACCACTTGGTTATTATATTGCAGACCTGAATGAATGAATGAGTGAATAAGGAACTTACTAAAAAACGTTTAAACCAGTATTTAAAATTTATAAAAAAAATTTGCAATTGTCAGATGATAAATAACAAAGTTAATAGATTGTGTCATTTTTTTAAAAACTCTTGATTGAAATTACATTTCTGGCCTTTAATAGTTGATTTAATCTTTATGGGATCATTTATAATCTATAATAATTTGTCATTTTTCTAATTTTAATACAAAATTACATTATTATGATTAACAATGAAGAGAGAGATAATTTTTATGCATTAAAACAAAAACAATATAGTAAACAATAAAAGAGTTTTTCTAATGGTAAAATGAATGAGAATAAATCAATTTTGTGGATGCAGTTTAGTCATCAGTAGAAATAAACTTTTTTTCTGGAAAGTGTAATAAATGCTTTCAAAATATTCTCTTTTTGCATTGTTTTATTACTGTCAATTTTCTATTTCTGCTTTTTTAAATCAATATATGAATTCCAATCACTTTAAACACAGATGAAAGATTAAAGATCTAACAAAAGCTATCATATTCTCACAATTAGATCTAGTTATTATATATCCTTTCTGTTTTTTACCTCTGGAAAAAATGAAATTGTTTTACAAAATATAAAAGTAAATATTAATATAAGATGCAAAAATTTTTAGAATTTTTATTTTATAAAATATCATCTATTAGTAAATATATTAACTAATCAAATAATCAAGCAGGATTTATTATCAGGCAACACTTTAGTTAATTAAGTATACAATTGCTATGTAATTTGAACTAAGGAGAGGTGATTAAGTTACCATACTTTTAGTTCAAATTATATATCATTTGTATATTTAGTTAGCTAAAGTGTAGCCTGATAACAAATCTGGCTTAATTAGTTGATTAGTAATATGTAAGGGTGCACCGATTAATCGGCAAGTAATCGGTAATCGGCCGTATCGGCCACTTAGCCGATTAATCGGTATCGGCCATTCCCCCCGATTAATCGGTTTCGATAATCGGCCAATTTTACATTTTGGTATTTTTGTTAGAATGTTACGTACAATGCTAGTAATAAAATCTAATAAATTTCTGTTATATATTTATTATTTATTACATGACAAACTGAATATTAAAAAAATTTTACTAATCAAATTATTCCTTTTATCGATACATATTATAAGTATAATATAACGTATAATATAAAGTTTAAACTTTACATAAGAAAAAGTATTGAATAGGTTAAGAAGAAAAATTAAATTTTTATTTGTTTCATA